GCGAACAGGTGCAGTAGGGTGAGAAGATGCCCCAGGTGACTTCATATGGATGGCGCCACCACATTGCCAGCCAAGAGTTTGACGATGAAATCGGTTTTCCCACCACCTCTGAAACAATTTGCTGTCGTTCAGCTGAGTGAGGGAGCAACTGTCTTTAAGAAAGAATTCAATGAGCGAATGACGGGCCATCTGTTTCCAAAAGGCCAGTAAGAAATTAAACTCCTACTGCTCTACAGAACAGTACAGTCATCAAATATTCATTAAGAGGGTATTTACACTGATGATCAATATTAAAACTCTGTTATTAAAAGATTTTTACCAGCAAAGAACCAAAATCGGTACAACTATTTTTCTCTGTTTTGATAAAATGCAAGCAACTGACATCTAATAAGAGTAAGCATTAACTAGTAACTTGTAAGAGCAGGTAGCACATAACAATAGGAAATAATGTAAACTACAACTTTTCACATCATTCAGTTGTCAAAACAGATGGAAAACAGATTTGACTCTACAGTTCAACAACACTATGTTTCATTTTGTAAAGGCTTTTTAAAACTTGCAAATGTTCAGTTAGTGTTTTTATGTTGAGGGACAAACTGTATTTTCCCCCACTTTTACTCCAACATTTTTTAGTTTTATCTTACCAATTTTATTGTAATTTTGTAGGTAATTATCTCTGAGAACTATAATTTAGGGACCTAAGTAAATGTGCTGCTGCTTTTTGAATCATAATAAGAAAAATTGTGAGTCAAACCAAAGTGAATATAAATAATCAGTTTGAGTCAGCTTTAGTTGAAATGTAATAAATAGAAAAAACACGTTTAAGGACAACATAAATCAAGTTCCAGAAACTGGATAAATTACTGCAGCCTGAGTTACTGGAAAATCAGTGGGGAAAATACAGCATAGTGTTGTAATGCAGCAAAGAGTTTCTATACAAACAAGTTTTTGGGTAAAATTTGAACTGAACTATGCTGCACATTTATTCTGCCTGAAGTGATAACTTGTCATGTTTCATAATACATTTTTGTGAATCCTCCATTGTTTCTGACAGGGCAATGGGTCAGTGTCAGTTTACTGAAAAACATCTTAAATGGAAAGGCCCGAAGGACTGTGCTTTCTTTTTTTTTTCATGCCAAACAGCGCAGAAACAATGCAGCATTGAAGTTTTACATAGAACTAAATAAAACTATTGATGAAACCAAAGCAACGTAGAAGTAAAAAATACAAAATAAAAACAGATATTTATAATTTTACCAACAACTTACTGAATTTTCTTAGTGCTTTTTGCCATGTCTCACAGATTAGTCAAAATTTCTAGTCAGTGTTCAGTAGATATATTCTTAGCTTATAAATTCTCTTCAGCAGTTTGCAAATTAAAAACTGTGATGTGTTTGTAACTGTTTTAACTTGCATTTGTAGATCAATGCTAAATCTTGGCTTGTTTATTTTTTACAGAGTTATTTGAAACAGTGAAATGAAAGTGTGACATCAGGATCCCATCACTTCATGATATTCTTCCTTTTCCTGGCCGATTAAACCATACATCCTATGGTCTTTCTAGTATCAGTTTTTAGTTTGGTTCTATCATCAGTTGGGGATAAAAAAAACACGGTGACCCAAAGCAGGCTGAGTGCTGCTGTGCAGCTCTGCAGGATGGGCTGAAATGATATCTCAATTTATGATATTAGGTCCTCAGTAAGGCCCATGGYTGCTGCAGCAAAAGCCCAGCAGAGTGTCGCTCGAAGTGAAGTGCTGCTGTGCTGGGTTTTGTTCTGGACGTATGCGCTGCAAACCCAGCGGCGATTTGACGGATAAAAAGGTTTGAGCTGTGCAGGCAAAGCGGGGACACAGAATTGGAAAGGATGAAGGGACCGGGCCTCCGGGGTATGGGAGCACAAGATCCATTTAGATTAGTCAGTTTTAATATACTTTAAAGTTTCCCAAGAAAGGGAGTTTGAGCCAGTATTTTACCATCTTATTTGATTCTCCATCATTCTTCAGAGGACCTCAAATAATGTGGTTTTGGATTGTTACCCTGAATAGACTTGTGTCTCAGCTGTTATTTCAAAAACAAGTAACAAATCATGCCCTGCAGTGTGATGTGTTCTTCAATGTGAGGCAATTTAGAGCCACTTATGCCTGCAACAACCTTAGCCAGCCTGCCTGAATGAAGCACTTCAGAGAAATATGCTGAATTACAGTTATTAAGTTTAAACCCTCTATTGTAGTAAAATATCAGGACAAAGGTTGTTACTTATGCAACATAGTGATGGGGAGAATAATCCCTTCATTACAGATGTCTGCTCTTTAGAAAATTTCTGCTCTTCTGCAATTTAAATGCCAGAAGAAACAGAAAATAACATTATTCTCAAAACTCCTTTTAACACAGATTGCTACTTAGGGAGCAAATTATCTCCAAACTTCCTAATTTTTGTTATTTCCTTTTTTATTTAATTAGCCGGTAAGAAACCGATTACAAAGCAAATGGTATAAAGTGTTTCAATTGAAATGTAGAACTAGAAAACAAACAGGAAAAAAAAAAATTAATTATTTTCCCCTCATTGAATTGCTTGATTTACAGTGTTAGTGTAAATGGAAAATGTGAAACATAAAAAATACATTTCTTATTAAAATTTCTTCCAAATATTACACTTCCAATGTAAAGGCCCAGAAAAAATGCACTATGGTTTTCCCAGATTCATTCCATTACTGGTGTTGCTTTGCATTGCAAACTGAGGAAAATTAACTTTGGACCTTTCTACACAGAAAACACTTTTAAAATAAACATTCCCCTTTTACATACTTATTTTCACATTTAAACAATTTAGTTGTGGTGTATAAAGGAACTGCAATGCTTTGGTCTAAAGTCATCCTTATTGTAACTCCACAAGCCCCTCTTTCACCCCTTTTCTGAACTGTGTCTCAGATCAACTTGTTTTGAAGCTGTCTCTTTGAATCTAAACAAGGCGCTTCACACCTCAGCCCACTCCAGCTTCCAGACCATTCTATTCTAGTTTTTGACAGGGGTTTACAACTATATAATGCTAAGCCAATGAAAACAAAGTGTTTACTCTTCAGACTCAAAATACTGTGTTTTTATTTTTACTCAATATTAATGCAGCAGGTAAAATAAGTATTGAACACGTCAACATTTTTCTCAGTAAATATATTACTAGAGGTGCTAATGATATGAATTTTTCACCAGATGTCGGTAACAACCCAAGTGATCCATACATACAAAGAAATCAAACCATGAATGTCCAGATATGAAGTTATTTGTAATAATGTGGAATGGCACAGGGAAAAAGTACTGAACACATGAAGAAAGGGAGRTGTAAAAAGGCATGGAAAGCCAAGACACCAGCTGAACTCTCTCAGTAATTAGAAAGCAAGCCTGCCCCTTGTCAGTGCAAGTTAATATCAGCTGGTTCAGTCCCAAATGATGGCCAGGTATCACACAAGAACCATCTGATGATGGGTAAAAGTAAAGAGCTCTCTCAAGACCTTCACAACCTTATTGTTGCAAAGCATAATGATGGCATCGGTTACAGAAGAATGTCTAAACTTCTGAAGGTTCCAGTGAGCACTGTTGGGGCCATAATTCAGAAGTGGAAAGAACATCATTTTACTATAAACCGACCACGACCAGGTGCTCCTCGCAAGATTTCTGACAGAGGAGTGAAAAGAATTATCAGAAGAGTTGTCCAAGAGCCAAGGACCACTTGTGGAGAGCTTCAGAAAGACCTGGAATTAGCAGGTACGATTGTTTCAAAGAAAACAATAAGTAATGCACTGAACCACCATGGCCTGTATGCACGCTCACCACGCAAGACTCCACTGCTGAAGAAACAGCATGTTGAAGCTCCTTTAAAGTTTGCTGCACAACATTTAGACAAGCCTGTGAAACACTGGGAGAATATAGTCTGGTCAGATGAGACAAAAACTGAACTTTTTGGATGCCAGAATACACATGTTTGGAGGTCAAATGGCACTGCACATCAGCCCAAAAACACCATACCAACAGTGAAGTTTGGAGGTGGGAACATCATGGTGTGGGGCTGTTTTTCAGCATATGGTACTGGCAAACTTCAAATAATTGAAGGAAGGATGAGTGGAAAAATGTACAGAGACATTCTTGATAAAAATCTGCTTCCATCTACCAGGATGATGAAGATGAAACATGGCTGGACATTTCAGCAAGACAATGAGCCCAAACACAAAGCCAAGGAAACTCTCAGTTGGTTTCAGAGAAAGAAACTAAAGCTGCTGGAATGGCCCAGCCAATCACCTGACCTGAATCCAACAGAAAATCTATGGAAAGAACTAAAGATCAGAGTTCATAGAAGAGGTCCACGAAAACTTCAAAATTTGAAGACTGTTTGTGTGGAAGAATGGGCCAAAATCACACCTGAGCAATGCATGCCACTAGTTTCTCCATACAGGAGGCGTCTTGAAGCTGTCATTGCCAAAAAGGCTTTTGTACAAAGTATTAGATAAATTTCAGTAAGCATGTTCAAAAATTTTTTCCTGTGCCATTCCACATTATTACAATTAAATTCATTTCTGGACATTTATGGTTTGATTTCTTTGTATGTATGGATCACTTGGGTTGTTACCGACATCTGGTGAAAATTTCATGTCATTAGCACCTCTAGTAATTTATTTACTGAGAAAAATGTTGATGTGTTCGATACTTATTTTACCCGCTGCATATTAACTGCAAATGTACCTGGCTCAAACTAGATTCATGTAAGTTGATAGTAAACGTTTCTAAAATGTTTTTTTTTCTTTGTTGTTTGTCAGCAGCAGAAATCACACAGTAAACCAAACTKTAATAATAACTAATTAGTAATTGATTGTATAAAAATTGTGCTATAACATTACAACTCTCTGAGTTTTTCTTTTTTAAAAAATGCCCAAAATTAGACAAGACAGTGATGAAATGCTGAGATACAAAAGTTAGCCATCAGAGCAAACTATGAAATATGGTTTCTTACCCATGAGGTATTCTGGGTCGGGCACAGGGTCTGACAGCTCCTCGTGGCACTGAACCTCTGTTGGCACTGATGCCACCACCATCCCATCTGGGAGCTGCTGTTCAATGCCTCGGGCAAAGTTCTTCTGCCTGGAAAAGACAAATGACAGGATGCTCCTTTTTTAGAGACGTGAGAGCTCAGTTGACCAACAGGGCAAAGACAGAAAAAAAGAGAAACAGAAAAAGAGCAAGGTGGGGCTGTGGTAAAAGGAAACACATTAAATGGAAGAAATGACAAAATTATCAACTATTTCCTTTATATACATACACTTTTAATGTCGGTTTATTTGTAACACAGAGTGGATGATTGGAATCAAGTTATACGAGTAATTAAAGCTGCTTTGCCCCAAACTCTGCTTTATGGACAATTTGACAAATGAAAATAACTTCACTAAAAGCAGCTCTAATTTCTAAACTGGTCCAATGACTTGCAATCTAATTACCTGTCTGTTTCTGCAAGGCCAGAGGGACCAAAAAATATACTTTATTTGAATATGTGTGCAGTGATGTGTGAAGCATACTTCATAAACTGACTGACTGAAACTAAATAATGAAATATTTGCTTAGTCATCTGCATTTGATGCTGTCTGTCTGTGCACAATATACAATGCTTTGATGGCTGTATGGTAATTCACAAAGACATTCAGTTCATCACCACACAAATGACAATAACTTTGTTTTTCTTTGCTTACTTTAAAGATAGCATTTTCTTGTTCTAGTCCTGTTGAGTATAAACTTCCAACCAGTGGACACTATAAATAAATCACTCATTACCTCAAAGAGCACGTGTCAAACTCATGCCCTAAAAAAACTCAAGTCACTCATGGCCTGTGGGCCGGCCTTGAGTGACTTCTGTCCAGCCCGTCAAAATATCTTTTTTGTTTGTTTCACTGCCTTCCTGTGTTTCTTCCTGTGCCATCAGTTCATTTCACCTCCTTCAGTTTCTGCTCCTCAGCTCCTGTTCTGCCCATTCTTAAATGTTCCCAGTTGCCATTTTGTATAGGTGTGTGTTTGTTTGTTTGTTTGTTTGTTATCTTATCTATTTATTTATGAAAAGAGGAAAAAAATAGTTGGGATGTGTATTCACATGTCTTTTCACTGGAAGAATAATTTCACAATTAATATGTCACGTGTAAATAAATAAAAAATAACATTAATGATTTGGTTTTAGCGCCATTAACAGTATTTGTAGTTGCAATTTATTTAAAAGCTCATCGCAGCAAATTTAATCAGCTAAGTTGCTAAACTCACATTTAAAAACATTTTTTTTTGATCTGTGAATTTTTCCAAACTCCACCAACTTGGTAAAAGAAACAAAATCACTGTTTTTGTTTGTCTGTTTAATTTGCTGATGGCACATTGAATCCTGGGATATCCTCCGCCAGTATTGATACTCGGATGCATCCTTGATTTTTGAGATTTTGTGGGATGCATGAGAAGGAGCCTATGAAATTTGGACAGCACCCAGGGGAGTAACTTTGTGCTGAAAGTTGGTGTGAACGCACCGTGGGGGATGGTCACACACATAGTTGTGTGACCAGGTTTTTATTTTATTTTTTTATTTTTTGCTAAGAATAAGGTCAAAACATAAATATGTCATTTGATGTCTACAGTTGAAAACACAATATTTACAGACAGTGATGGACTGGTACAGTTATCCAGGCTTGGATGATACCATCTCAGTCCACCACCTGTTTAACACAAACCACCAAGACTTAACATGTATTCAGTGTTTGCTCAGTTTAACTGTCCGCACTCATCAACTACTGAATACCTAATGTTTATGTTGTGATGCAATAATACTCAAACCATATTAAATGTATAAAATTATGTTCACCTTTGTTCAACCATGTACTGTATCAGCCTTTTAACCTCACTACGAATACAGTTTGATAATCAACCATAGTTTCATACAGAGACACACAGGTGGAGCACTGCAGGTTTGTTTATCCTCTCTAACATTAAACCAGAGGCATCAGAAACCATATAATGTGTGTAAAGGACACACTGCAAGGGGGTCTGGGGGTCCTCCCCCAGAAAATTTTGAATAAAGTAGAGGCTATTCTCTAGCCTGGTAAAAACCAGCTTGTCCTTCACTTTGCTTCGTACGAGGGTCTGGACTCGCTGCTATAGAGAAGCGATTCTTGCTGGGGGCGTGGCCTCTGCTGAAGTGTGTATGTATGTGTCGCTGTGAAGGAGGCTAAGCTAAGAAGCTAACAGAAATCACGTGTGCTGTAAACAACCCTACTGAGAGGAGAGAAGTACCGAGACGACTGTAAACGAGAGCTGCTGCTTTGTCAGACAAATTTAATTTATTTTGGAAGACTTATCAACACAGACTGGCTTCGTTCACTTCCTCCACTGCCGTATAAACTAAACTAACTAGCAGACACTGCAGAAAATCAACGTCGTTCAAAACTTCGCCTTCTGTTTGCTGATTGGCCCAGGTAAAATAAACTACAAGCAGACACTGCGCAGAAAATTGACGTTCTGTTCTCTGATTGGCCCAGGTAAAATAAACTACAAGCAGACACTGCGCAGAAAATTGACGTTCTGTTCTCTGATTGGCCCGGCTGAAAATCTGCCAGCGAAATCCTTGTCAATGGGAGAAGTCCCAGATGGAGCAGTGAAGAGAAACTAGAATTGAGCGGAGCTGCGTAGGAAGGCAAGGGCCAGGCTAGCTATTTCCTGATATCTAATGTATTTTAACAGTTTGTTAAACACACTTTTACTTACACAAATAAAGACTAAATTAGAGACAATTAGAGAGGGGGCAGAAGGGAGGAAGCGGGCGCAGCGTACTTTATTTATTTATTTAAACTGAAAAAGCTTTGGACACAGCAGCTGCTGCCGCGCTACATGCATGCAAAGGAAAATAAGATGTGTGAATATTGGTGGGTACTCTCCCACCAAGGTTGGTGGGGACATGTCCACACCAGTCCTTCACAAAGTTACGCCTATAGCACTTGGTGTGGGGCAGTGACATAAGCGGTCAACAAATGTGCCATCAGCAGCATGCAGCCCATGAATTGAGACACAGCCTATATTGGTAAATGGATTGAACTTATAGAGTGCTTTATCAAGTTCCTCCATACCCCCAAGCACTTTACACTTACAGATATTCACCCATTCACACACTGATGATGGCAAACTACGTTGTAGCCACAGTTGCCCTGGGGCATGCTGACAGAGGCAAGGCTGCCATGCACCGGCGCCACCGGACCCTCTGACCACCATTAGTGTGAAGTGTCTTGCCCAAGGACACAACAACTGAGACTGCTGGATGGGGGATCGAACCGGCAACCTTCTGGTTCTAGGACGACTCCACTAACCACTCCACCACAGCCGCCCCCTATATTGTGAAGTGAATAGGGTTAAATACTGTTTTTTTTAAATACTGTTTAAAATAGATATACTGTACATATTTAAAAATAAATACCAGCCAATTACATTTTCTCCTGGCCTTATGAACTAGCCGGTTCAACGACTGGTACATAAAGCATAAATATCCATTGATTACCTTCTGAGTTTTATTATTGCGCCAACTGGTTTGTGATATGTTTTGCTAACAGCCAAACAGGCAAAAGAGCACACGCAAAGACATGATTAGCACAGTTGCCTCCAAGCAAAAAGGTGTTCAATCCCCAGTTTGGACTTGGTCTTTCTGTGTGGAGTTTGCATGTTTTACCTGTGCATGTGTGGGTTTTCTCTGGGTACCTCAGTTTCCTCCCACTGGACTGTGGGATGTTTTTGGACTAAAACATGTATGTTGGGCTGCCTTCAGACCCAGGTCTCCCTTGCAAAAGAGATTTATGATCTCAACAGGATTTGCCTGATTAAATAAAAAAAATGTAAAAATAAAATAAAACAAAAGACAAATTTCAATAAAAAAGTAAAC